AAGAATATCTGACGGACGGGCTGCATGGAACTTGGGGTTCATGCGCATCGTCACGATGTTAAATTTAACACACGCTGACGACAGCAGAAGTAAACAACACCACAGAGACTGAGCCGTTACGATTACTTTGATCATGCAGTGGTGAATAGAAAACAAACGGTTTGTTGTCCACCTCCGGTCCATGCAATGTATATGCATATATATGATATACATTAGCGAGAACGGCAATCCACAGAACGCCTTTCAGCGAGGAAATCAACGCAATGAAAAAGAGAGGGGGAGCAACGCCGAGTGTGGCCACCCAATCAAACTATACGTGCTTCTGCCTTTGTTTTTTCCCCCCTGTTTTTGTTTGTTTTGCTGCGGACGAGCACACGCAAAAAGTTTCACGCTACCACAGCAAGAAATCGTAAAAAAGTAAAAATAAGTATCAACAAGGAGTCAACAAAAATAACAGTAAGGAATGCCGCCGACCATTCACAGGAATCTGCTGAGCCCCGAGCTAGTGCAGTGGGCGCTTAAGATTGAGAAGGACTCGCGTCTGACGGCCCGAGGCGCTCTGGCGGTAATGTCGTACGCGAAGACGGGACGCTCGCCGTTGGACAAGCGCATCGTTGACACGGACGACGTGCGCGAGAACGTGGACTGGGGCAAGGTGAACATGAAGCTCTCGGAGGAGTCCTTTGCGAGGGTGAAGAAGATTGCGAAGGAATTTCTTGATACACGCGAGCACCTGTTTGTGGTGGACTGCTTCGCCGGCCACGACGAGCGCTACCGTCTGAAGGTGCGCGTGTTCACGACGCGCCCGTACCATGCACTCTTCATGCGTGACATGCTGATTGTGCCGACTCCCGAGGAGCTTGCGACGTTTGGCGAGCCGGACTACGTCATCTACAACGCTGGTGAGTGCAAGGCGGACCCGTCGATTCCCGGCCTGACGTCAACGACGTGCGTGGCGCTGAACTTCAAGACGCGCGAGCAGGTGATCCTTGGCACGGAGTACGCTGGTGAGATGAAGAAGGGCATCCTGACGGTGATGTTCGAGCTGATGCCACGAATGAACCACCTGTGCATGCACGCGAGCGCGAATGTGGGCAAGCAGGGCGATGTGACGGTCTTCTTTGGACTGAGCGGGACCGGAAAGACGACGCTGTCGGCAGACCCCCACCGCAACCTGATCGGCGACGACGAGCACGTGTGGACGGACCGTGGCGTGTTCAACATTGAGGGCGGCTGCTACGCCAAGGCAATCGGCCTGAACCCGAAGACGGAGAAGGACATCTACGACGCCGTGCGCTTCGGTGCTGTGGCGGAGAACTGCGTGCTGGACAAGAGAACGGGGGAGATCGACTTCTACGATGAGTCGATCTGCAAGAACACGCGCGTTGCTTACCCGCTGAGCCACATCGAGGGCGCGCTGAGCAAGGCCATTGCTGGCCATCCGAAGAACGTCATTTTCCTGACGAACGACGCCTTTGGCGTGATGCCGCCCGTGGCTCGACTGACGAGCGCGCAGGCGATGTTCTGGTTCGTGATGGGCTACACCGCGAACGTCCCAGGCGTTGAGGCTGGCGGCACGCGCACTGCTCGCCCGATCTTCTCGTCGTGCTTTGGTGGGCCATTCCTCGTGCGCCACGCGACGTTCTACGGCGAGCAGCTGGCGGAGAAGATGCAGAAGCACAACAGCCGCGTGTGGCTGCTGAACACTGGTTACGCTGGCGGCCGCGCGGACCGTGGTGCGAAGCGCATGCCGCTGCGCGTCACGCGTGCGATCATCGACGCGATCCACGACGGGACACTCGACCGGACGGAATACGAGGAGTACCCCGGCTGGGGCCTGCACATCCCGAAGTACGTCGCCAAAGTGCCGGAGCATTTGCTGAACCCACGCAAGGCCTGGAAGGACGTGAGGCAGTTCAATGAGACGTCGAAAGAGCTGGTGGTGATGTTCCAGGAAAGCTTCAGCGCGCGTTTTGCCGCCAAGGCGTCGCAGGAGATGAAGAGTGCCGTCCCGCGCTACGTGGAATTTGCGCACCTGTAAGTAGGCAATTAAATTGTCAATAAGCGGGTTGTAACCTGCTGAACTAATGTGGTTAGAAGAAAATGCTCTTTTTTTCCCGTTGTTATTGGGGGGAGAGGGATAGATGTGCTTCTGCACGGTAGCTAGGAACTTTTTTTTTAAATTTTGAGTGCGTGGTGGATTACAACAGGGAGACGCTTTTTGAGTTTTTTTGTTTTAATATGATTTTTTTTCTTCTTTTTTTTTTTTTTGTTTCACGCTATCCCCACCTTTCCTATTTAAATTCTGAATACGAATTCTGTCCCCTTTATTTATAAAAAAAAAAGGAAAAAAAAAGCATGAAATTCCAAAGTGCCATGTAATATTTTGTTGTTTGTTTTTCTTTTTTTATTGTTTTTAATGCGTAAAGAAGCTTCATATAAAATTTTTTTTTTTTTTGTTTTTTTTATTTGGTTGTTTGTGGAACGTCTTTTTGTTTTTAAAAATTTTATTTCTTTTCTATTTGTTGTGGACGAATTATTTATATATATATATTTTTTTTTATTATTATTTGGAGAGGAGTATCGAAAGAGCCGCCAAATTATTTCATCAACATGTCATTGTCAAAAGGGGAGCACTTGAAGTTGTGTGAAGGGGATCTCATCGACTCCCGCTTTAGGGTGCTTCGTGAGTTGGGCGCCGGTAACTTTTCAAAGGTGTACTGCTGCCACGATATAACGCGGCAGCGTGACGTGAAGCGTGCGCTTGTGGCTGTGAAGGTTGTTAAGCGCGAGTACGTGGAGGATGCCTACTTTGAAAGGGATATGCTGGATGTTTTTCGCTGCAAACGCGCGGAGGGCCCGATGGTTTGCCGGATGATGGAGTTCTTTGAGTGGCGGAAGTGTCCGGTGATTGTCATGTCAATTCACGGCCCCTCGCTACGCACGCGCCGTCTTGGTTTTAAAAATGGCGTGGTGACACGAACGAAGTTGGTGCAACTCGCATACTCCCTCCTGACGACGCTTCGGTACGTTCACTTCGATTGTCAGATGGTACACACGGATATGAAGCCGGAAAACATTCTTTTAGCGGACCTGGACGCCCCCAAGCATTCCTTAGGCAGTCAGTGGGTGGTGTGTGACTTTGGCAGCGCTTCGCTATGGCGCATGGATCGTCTTGACGCGGACTTGATTTCAACGCGCCCGTACCGTGCGCCTGAGGTTGTACTTGGCAACCAGTGGTTTTACGCCGCCGACATGTGGAGTATGGGGTGCATTTTGTTTGAGGTTGCCACGGGGCAGCGGCTGTTTGATGTCCGCGACGATGTTACGCACTTGCAGTTGATGGAGAAACGCTTAGGACCCCTACCGGATTTATTTACGAGGAATGCAATGCACTCGGCGAAGTACTTTACGTCAAGTGGGAGTTTTATAGCGGAGTCCGAGTCCATCCGGGCCGGAAAAGTGAGCATGCGAAAACTGAAGGATGTTTTCAGCGATGACCCCGAGCTGTACGAGCTGATTTCTGCCATGCTGATCTACGACCCAATGAAGCGTCTTACGGCAAAGGAGGGTTTGCAGCATTCCATATTTGACGGTATTCATTTGCGTAGTAAAAAGACGGAAGCCATTGATAATAGTGGGCATAATTTGAATGGGAATTCGATTGCTTTTTCGCCATCGGTGCTGCATAGTCACATTGAGGGGAAGCTTGACACGGGATCAAAACACCTCGAGATTTTATCTGGCGTAGGCAGGAAGATTGTGACAAGGCGTGGAAGTTCTGTCCAGGCAATTTCTATTGACAACAACACCAGTTTGAATCCACACCCACCGAACCGTCTTGGGTTGAAATTTGTTGGTAAAGCGCCGCGGGTGGGAGGAACAACATCACGGGCTTTTATTTTTCAAAAAGCACGATCACAGAATTCTTCTGTGGTGAATGTCGAACCACCACGTTGCCCCACTCCTGAAAGGGGAGAAAAGAAGAGCCCGGATAATTCACATCCTTCTGGAATTTTTGCCTCGTCTCATGGAAATGATCAGACCCACAAGATGCGTCGGTTTCCTGTGGTGTACGCATCACCTATAGACATGTCGACGGAGAACGAGACACTGGTAGAAGGCATAAGCAAGTTTTGTGAGAAATCGGTTCTTGCTTCTTCCAGCAACACCTCGGAAGGGGATTCTTTGGTCCGCAACCCACCTGGACCATTCCCTATTGTGATTCCCACGCCAGAGAAGGTGTTGTCTTCTGCAGATTGCTTTAGCGAATACACCGACCCTCATCGGGAGCGAGATCAGCCGCCGTTGAAAGCGTCTGATATCTCACAGAGCGAAAAATCGCTGGGTGTTTCTCAGGTGGACGATGCCACGGGTGCCGGATCTCCGTTGGGGCCATTGACACATGTGATAAATATGAATGGGCCAGTGCTACCAACGGAGTGCGAGAGTGAAGTGAACGTGGGGAATGTCTTGCGACCATTTCCGTCCCACCCATTGTCGTGTTTCTCAGCCACCCTCAATTCTCTTGATTTAAAAGCAACGAAGGGTGGTTCCGATTGGAAGGATTCGACACGGAAGTCGGCATTGCATCCACTTGCCACACGGGAAATGAAGGGTGGGTGCAATAGTCTGACCTTACATCCGGCTCACACAAATGTGAGTGAATTGAGCTGGCTGTCGAATTCTATTTTGCGGCCGTCGACATCATCGTTACCGCCATCTCATGCGTCTACAACGGGAAAACAATCACTCCCCTTTAATTTGGCCGATGTAATACGTTCACCAAAAACAGCGCAAACGGGGAATTTACTAAAAGAAGGGAACGTCCGTGTCCGTGTTTTTACAAATGGGACACAAGGCGCAGTGATGCCGCGTGTCATAATTAAAAAGTCCTTTGAAGGCACCGCCACGAAGTCTACGCAGCACCAGTTACCCTCACCAACCGTGCGAAATGTGGGGCAGCAAGGCCGATCAGGAGCGATGAATTCTCTTGCGGGTTTACCGCGAGCTGGTAGTTCTCAATCAATGTCTCTTCGGGCGAGTACTATTAAAGTGCGTCGGCGCAGTGATACGCATATAAATTTGCCAAAAACGGTTAATGCCGTACGGTCCAAAACAAATTACCCGAATTTGCAGGAAATTTCTTTTCAAAAAAGTAATTATCCTTTGAAAAATAGGAGCACTGTTGCTGGCAGAGGCGTTTTGGTGGATATGGGCACAGTTTCTTCAGAGACATCATCCATGTTTGATCCCAAATTGACAGCCTCGACGGGCGTCGTTTCAACACAATTTTCTTCATTTAATAGCGTTAATCCAACCGTCTTGGAGGTGCCACAAAAACGGCGCCCTTCTGTTGATATTCGGCCCACCCATTCACAATTAATTCAAAGGAACGTTGTTTCCAGTGGTAAACCCGGTGTGTGTGTCAATAACCCGCCTGGACAGGAATATTTGAATCAGTCTGATGTCTCGCGAGCCATGCAGTCCAATGGGGGTGCAGATGATGATACCTTTGTTAGTGGGGTGACAGCGGGCATGGACGGCAATGCTACACAGCACGTGGGGGCGTTAATGTCCACCGTTGAAGATGCATCGTGTGAGATGCGGGCCCCACACATGACCCGTCATTTTCCAACCGTGCAGGCACCAGAGTAGTTGTGGATATATTTGTTTAAAATAAAGGAAAGGAAAGGAAGGGAAAGGAAAGAAAAAGAATTTAGACTGCCTGATCATTTTTGCTCTCTTTCTCTCTCTCTCTCTCTCTCTATCTCTTTTTTTTTTTTTTTTTTTTTTTTTCAGGTGTTCATATTTAAATGCGCAGGTGGCCGCATTTGGAAAGTCGGGAATGAGAGACATGGATGGCAGCGTCTTTTGGTTTCCATTTGTTTTTGTTTTGTTTTTCTTTTTTTTCCCCTCCTCCCCTCCTCCCCTCTTTCTTTCTTTTCGTGTAGAATTTCCGCTTTGCGAGTCATCATGTGCGATCTTCATGTTCCCTCGTTTATTTCCCACCGCCCTCCATTCATCGTTTCGCTCACATGTTTGTTTCTGCGGGGTGTTGTGTTGATCCCCCCCCGCTTTGCCCAGCCACCGTGAAGGAGGGAAGAAGGAGGCAAAAAAGAGGGATTTGTGTATTCGCACACGGTGAAGAAAAATGAAATTTTAAACGAAGAAAAAGAAAAGAAAAGGGATCAAACGGTACAAAATAAACGAAAAGAAACGAATCAAAAAAACAAACAAACAAAAAAAAAAAAAACGTCTTTGGCGACATGAATTGTATTAGCGTTTATATATATATATATTTCTTTTTGTTATTTTGTTATTTTGCTCCATTCTTTTTTTTAATTATTATTTTATTTTTGTTTCCCCACCACCCCGCCCTCTTCCCACTTTTTCTCTTCTTCAAGCATGCACGTACGCATTTCCGATGTGCATACATGCATGCTTTTGCGTGCGAATTTAAAGAGTTTTTTTTTTTTTTTTTTCCGTCCTTCCTTCCTTGTGTATGCGTGTAAACAACATCGGCATCCCTGACGCCACGAGACAGCGGAAACGATGAAAGCAACAAACGGGCTCGCGCACACTGGGGAGAAGAGCGGACAGGAAAAGATGGGGGAAAAAAAAGATTGGCGGGGTGGAGGGGAGGGATTAGAAGCGGTGGGGGGGAAAAGAGAGAGCGAGCGAGAGCGTAATGATATAAACAATGCCGATAATAGCGAAGAAAGCGAATAAAGAAACCAAGAGGAATTCCCTTTTTTTTTTTTTTTTTTTTTTTTTGCCTTTGTTTTAGAGTGGAGTGGATGTACTTTTGGTGAGAATGTGGCTGTTTTCTTCTGAATGCGGTCGTTTTCAATAGATGGAGTTTTGTTGCGGTTGGAATTCAGTTGATGAGGCACGCACACGGTACGTTCTTTTGAAATATATATCTATATATCTATGTGTATGCATACAATATGTACCGGACTTCTTTTTCATTATTATTATTATTATTATTATTATTATTATTATTATTATTTAGTTTTTCTTTTTTTGTTTCCTTTTGCCTCCTTTACGTTGTGGCAAAAGGGGGCCTTTTTTCTTTTTTTCTTCCTATTCTCACCCTTCTTGGTTTGTGTGTGTGTATTTGAATATAATATATATGTGTATATGTGTATAGTGGAGGAAGTGGTCATATGCATGTAAGCAAAGTGGGATGGGACCTGAAGTTTTTTATTCAACATTTTTAATTGTCATGTTGAATGAATGCGGGTATTAGGATCTGGTAGGGAGCGTGTTTGGTTTTCATTGGATGAATATTTGACATCCAACATCACACGCCTCACCCCATTTGGATTGTCCATTTTATATTTGTAAAAAAATAAATGCAGCCTTTTGTTTTTTGTTTTTGTTTGTACAACGTGTTGTGGGTAGTCTGCGTTTGTTGGTAATTATCGATATTGCGAACTATTGAGGGGGTCTGCGTGTGTGCTGGACTGGACTGGACTGGGCTGGGGGGTTAGGGTTAGGGTTAGCGGAGATGCCTCCTGTGAACAACCCTAATTTTCCCATGGGAAGATGTTGCTGTTGTTTTGTTTTCATTGTTTGTTTGTTTGTTTGCTTGTGTTGGGTGCGTTGCCGTTTTATTTATTTATTTATTATATTTTCTTTGGCGTTTTTTTTTTTTCTTTTTTTTTTTACATGCGTGTGAATTATGTGACTATTTCTTGACGGCGCGGTGAGGCGTGTTGGATGCGTTACATGTACGTGTGGGTCTCTCTGGCCGCCGTACCTTTTTTTTTCCCCCCCCCCCCCCCTTTTCCCCCTGTCGTTGTTTCCTTTTTTTTTTTTTTTTTTTTGAGTTTTGTTTGGCTCTCATGGGCCGATTTTTAAATGGAGAAGTGAAGACGTCCTGCTCGCGTGTCTCCGCACGGCGTGGCGAGGGGAAAGGAAGGAAGGAAGGAAGGGGGTGGGGGAACAAAAAGAAGAAAAAAAAAAGAAAAAAGGAGGGCTCTGGGAGACTTTGCGCTTCAGGACGTGACGTCGATTTGATGGCGGGTTGTCCCGCGGATGAACTGCGGGAGATCTACCAGGAACTCACTCAGCCATGCAACCACGACAACACGTATGTGACAGTACAGCCGAGTTGGCTTCACAGCGCCGCTCTGCGCTCCACCAGCGGGAAGACGCACCCAACAGCGGTGGGAATTTCTTCTCGCAATGGGCGACCTGTTGCTGCTGGATACCCGTCTCTGCCTATGAATTGCCGTGAGGCGTGTGAGGGGGCGTCTGGCAGCAGCGAGCAGACCTCCACGAGCGGCCAGAATGCCATGCGAAAGAGCCCTGTTTCTTTGGGTCTGGTAGAAACCCCCAGTGGGAGTGCGGGAAAAGGGAATCGACCGACGCGGGTGAATCAGTCGCATAGAACTGGCCTGGAATCGAATATGTGTCTTCCTGAGGCAATGACCAGTAAAGTACCGGATGCCGGTGGAATGAACACCAGACATTCTGGGTTTTTTCTCTCTACGCCAACAGAACACCGTTGGACCTGCTGGTTATGTGAAACGCCATGCGCCCGGCCAGGCTGGTTGAACGCACCTGAACTATACTTGGGTGAGGAAGAAGGAGCTGACATGGATGATTATTATCAGCATCATAAACATCATCTCCCTGTTACTTTGCTCACATTGTGCTCACGTTGCAGCGCTGCCTGCTCGTTGCCTGCAGATGCGTCGCATGCTTCCGTGTTAAGGAAGGCGGGCGCAACACACGTCTTGTTGCAACGCACCGAGATGTTTGTTCAATTCTTGCGAGGATTTAAACGGCTACTGGAGTCACTCGCTAAAATAGAGGAGACGATGGTCTCGGATGCGAGGGTCTACGCGGGCGGGACACGTCCTTCCCTGTGGGATTTTCACCCAGATTTCCAGTCGAGTGTGATGCATCAGCTTATCGATATGTTGGCCTCCACGTTGGAGGCGGACTCGCTGCAATCGCGTCGGCAACAGGTGGATGTGTTGTCGGCTCATGAGAGACTTCTATTAGAGGGGGAACGCGTGTGGCTTCAGCGACAGTTGTCGACTATCGAAGAGAATGGACCGTCGCCCATGTGGCTGCTACGCACCGCGGTTGTACCGCTCTCAACCGCTGAGAACGGGATTATGTCACATGACGTATCGCATGCACCTCAACGCGGACTACAAGATGAAAGGAGAAAACTACACGCTAAGTTGCGACCTTGTTTTCTTTCTGCGAAAACGGAGCCAGGAGGTTGGCGGCACGATCAACGTAACCGTGTTGTGCAGGGCGGAGAAGGGAGTAACGAGGCCCTTCAACACATGATGGAACGTGCACTGACCGCACGGTGGCACCAATTGGGTGATGGGTCGGCGTCATCGGCGAACGTGACGGACACGCCTGCCACGAAGAATGACAAAAGGGACAACCAGCAGCTTCACTCTCCAACTTTTGTTTCGCTACCCAAAGACGCAGGCGGAGGAGGGGCTCGGTTAATACATGAAGATCCCGACAACATTCTTTTACACTATTTTGAAGGGCGACTGGAGGATTTGCCGAAGTTTAAATTACTCTCAGTGGATGCCACGCGAGGCGGGGGGAACAATGAGTGTTTGCCGCAGCCTTTCCGTCACGTACCAGGCACACACCGTAGTTCCTGTGGTGACTTAGCAAATGTGTCCTCTGATGTCGTGCTGGTTGCTGCGGATGATGCTGCTGCCGTTTCCATGGATACGGAGGGATTGCTGAAACATTTGCGCGAGGAACAGAAACGCCGTGAGGAGTCGGAAGCGGCTTTGCGCGAGAGCCATCAGAAGATTGCCGCCCTTGAAAAGGCCACGGATCATATTTCCGGATTGGCCCTTGACTTGGAATACGTGTTGGGGGAGCAATTGGCAGGGATGTGGCGATTTCTGCGCAACACGACACAAGGTTGCGTGGATGTCATGATGCAGAAGTCTCTTCTCTTCTCAGATGAAATGGCCGCTCTGATGCGCCAGGCGCAGAGGCAGGCGTATGGTTTAAATGGAATGTTTCCACCAACTCATGCGGGAAGGGCCTTCGAAGCACGTCGCGATCTCCCCTCATCGGCACCGGTGACATCACCGAACGGTGCACTTGCGGAATCCAATGTTGAACGTCTCCGCTCCTGCGCCAACTCGCCTGCTTCTTGTGCGGCCGGAATCGGTCCTACTCATGCGTTGTGACCTCCTGTGTACCATTCTTGTAGCAACTCATCTCTGTTAGTTGTTTTCTTTCTTTCCGTTGTTGTTGTTGTTGTTGTTGCTGTGGAACGCAGAAGGATTTACTGCTGTCATCAGGGTGAATGATGGGAAGACTCGAGGAAAGAAAAAAAAAAAAAAGGAAGCGAAGTTTGTGGCGACAGGCAGGAACGAATAAAAAAGAAAAAGAGGGAGATAAAGGGGGCGCATGAGTATGGCTGCTCTTTTCTCCCTTTTTTTTTTTTTTTTTTGTATGGTCACTTTTTTGAGGCGTGTCGCCTGGAGCTTTTACACGGTATGACACCACAATCAATAGCACCGATCAAAATGAAGGAATCGGAATCGGGAGAATGAATGTATGTTACTTAACAGTACAGGGACGGGACGGTGCATGTGCTTGTGCGTGTGTGTATGTCTGTTTTTGTTTGTAATGGAGGAGTGCGATGCTTCTACAGCACTGTGGATTTCCTTTATTTTAGAGTCACCCAACGTTTTATGATGGATTAACGTTTTTGGTTTTTTCTTCTTTCTTTCTTTTTTTTTTTCTGTGTGTGTATTTCTTGGCGAAAAACGGTGAACGGGATATACATTCATTACAGACAGATAGAGATACATATTTATTTATTTATTTTTTTCCCCTTTTGGATGAAATCTGTGGCCTCGCAGTTTTTGGACACGCCCTACAAAGAAGAGGGAACTGTGGGCACAAGGCAGAATGGCATGACGATGGGCGTTCGTTCAGATGATGCTGCGCGTTGTGTGAATCACCCGCCGCTTTTTAGCAGCGTTTTGGCTCCACGCCCCGTGCTTATTGGACCACTGCTCCGTTCCCCGCGTATCAGTGAGACGGTAGTGCTTCTGGATGGAGTTCCCTGTGGCGCTGTCTGCTTCAGTGGGCGTGTGGTGCGTTGTGAGGGACCCCAGCGTCATGGTGGCGTTTCAGCGTCGCGGGCATACACCGCCTTATTGATCTCCGACAACACAGGGCTTATTTCTGTGATGCAGCCTCACACGGCAAGGGTCAATGTGGATGTTGGCGCCGCTTGGGAAGGTGCCACGTCCTGTTTAACCGGAGGAGTCGCTGAGTTGGCGGGAAATGCAACCGACGAGATGGTCCACGAGAATGACTATGTATTTGTTGTCGGATGGCTTGCATTTGCGGATACCTCGAGGGAGGTTCGACGTCTTTTGCGGGGTGTAGTGGATTTTGTCACGGGGGGCGACGGGACAAAACCCGATGAAAACTGCTTTTGTGTACGGGGAACAGTCCGTCAAATTCACGACATGAACGAACTTCACTTTTGGGCCCTCGCTGCTTTGGAGACAAATCTGCGGCTGTTGGCCAAAGCGGGGGATTTTGCTTCGGCCTTTCCCACACGAAGAAAAAACGTGTGACTTTATTTAATAAGATGATTTTTATTTGCCTCCCTTCTTTTTTTTTTTTGTTGTTTTGTTTTATTTATACAGAGTGATGTAAATTCCTTCCCCTTTTACACTTCTTCACGGGGAGTTGGGTGGCGTTTTTTTTTTTTTTTTTTGTGAACTTTTATTTGGGTTATTTTTAATGGCAGGCTTCTCTGAGGGTGGATCATGTGAGGACGGGTATTACTGCGATGTTGTCTTTGCGATGAATGATTCTTTTGTCGGGGTTCTGTTCATTCCGCATCCTTGGAATCAGACAGACAGAGAAATGCACAAACGCACGTTGTTCCTTGGAGATTTTTTTTTCCCTCTTTTGTTGTTGTTTCTTTTTCTTTCTTCTCTCTTTCTCTCTTTGTGTGTGTGTGTGTGTGTGTGTGTGTGTGTGTGTGCGATTCTCCCCCAATTTTTTTTTTTTTTAATTTATGCGTTGTTGTTGGCCGACGGGGACGCTTTTGCAGGAGTTGTGCCGATCATGCGCAAGCGAGAACGTTCGGCTTCAGCATCGCCTGTAATGGGCGCAACTTCGCAGGTTGAGCCGCCGGGCCAACGGGTGTGGCTGCGCCAGCAGGTGCTGTTTGATGTCCTGCGCCGAACCTCCTTGGCGGAGCAGAAGGATCGCGAGATTGTGGAGTGGCTCACAGACGCCGCGGAATGGTTGCAGGACAGTGAGTACGAGAAACTCGGTGCGGGATCGCAGGCGGAGCTCCGTTTCCTCGTCCTCGGTGTCTTGCATACCATGCCGTGGTGGCGCGTGGTGGAGGCCGTGGATCCAAAGCGGGTCCACGTTGCTTCACGTGGGGCACAGAGTGCCACCCGCGCCATCACACGCTGGCATGAGAAGATACAACTTGCCTTTGAACGGGTATGCATGCTGCTGATTGAGCAATCACCACACGCCGTTCGGGGAGTACTAGAGGTAGCCATGAAGCCGTTTCAAATGCGGCCCCCCGTGGCGGACGGTGCACGACGGTTGATCCCGGCGGATTCCATAATGCGAATCATGAACGCTGTGTCCACGAAGTACCCTAGTGCACTTGTCCTGGACGTGCTGGAACAAACCATGCGATCACTTGTGCCAAAACGGCGATGGGCGGAGGAGCGACATCACAGGGCATGCATTGCACTCTTTCTGCATCTCGCACTGGAGGCTCATGTTCCCTTATTTCCGACTCATACTTACGGCCAAATTGGACCATTTGGGAATGGCGCTTCCGATCCATTTTGTAGCACCTCTCATGCCATTTCGGTTCAGGGTTCTGAAGATAGTGCGACGGATGCGGCCGCTTCATCCTCCTCCAACCGCTACCATCAACTACACCCTCTTGAGATGACGTGCCCTGTGATGTCTGCAAGTGATGCGGACTTTAGTGATGCATCGATGAACATTTCATCTACGGCTTCCGGTCATTTCTTTCCAACGCGGCTTACTGATTTTACAATGCAGAACAATAAAATGTTGGCATATCGCAATGAACTCATCCGTTTTGTCTTGCAGCAGCTACTGGACATGGAGTTGTCACTCCAAAACTCTGATAATGAATCCCTGCAGGAGTTGACTTCACCTTCCTCCTCATTCTATAGTATTGGCCCGACGGACGCCACTCGGTTGCCGTGGAGACCTCTTATTGGACGGTTCAAGGAGCGATCAACGGACAAACCGTTTGTAGACATCCTTCGTGGTTGTACGAGTATTGTTTTTCACAGACTGGCGGAAGATCTTGTGCGGCAGCGGGCCGCAGGTGTTTGCGGGAACGCCGAATGGTGGCGTGAGTTACTCGCCTTTCATCTCAATTTTGTCATAAAGATGGAATGCCCGATCTGTTTGTTGTATTTGGCGCCAAGCCTTGCACTGCTGGGCGGCGAAGAAGAGGCTATTGACATGATGCATAAGCTCGTGTCTCTGGTGACAAAGGGGTACCTACCGGTTCAACAAAGCGCAAGGCGTGTCACTGCGGCGGGTCCGGCACGTGTGCGGATGGCACCCCCATGTGTTGGTCCGCTGATGATTCCCATGACGCATCGTGTGCGTGCCGCGGTCTATATTTATCCACTCTTTCGATTTTTGCGTGATCGTCTTGGAAACGGCGAAGGGACGCGAAAACGACTCCAGAAGTGGGTCGTGCAGGAGCTGAAAGGTACTGCCACCGTTTCCGCAAGCCTGATCGTGCAAGTGCTCTTTGCTCAATGTGCCGCCATGTCGCAGCTGTTGGAAGCCGACTTTGTGGAGGAGATGAACTCCCAGCTGCCGGGCTCGACTGCACTGCGGTCGTTATGGGAGCAGTATCTTTTCCCCGAAGGCACGACCTCGCGAGCTTGTAATGGGGACAATGAGGGGATGTCAAGCGTCTCCACAAACAACAGCTACAATGGCACCAACACCACGACGAATGACACTGTTGATGTGGGCGCGCAAAAGAGGCGGATGGACCTTTTGAAGATGGAGGCGCAGGGGTTTTTGCACCCCAAACTGATGGACGACTGCCCGTGGGACTGGCGCCGGTGCCAGACCGAGAGGGCATTGGAGTGATAACAAGTGGTGGATGGACCATCACGTGTAAAATACACAAACAATAAAAGAAAAAGAAAAACAAACAAACAAACAAACAAACAAACAAAAAGAGGAATGAATCATGGGAAGACTGGGATGGCAGTTGCCATGAAGAAACAAACACAACAACGAGGATAAGAAGGAAAAAAGGAAAGTGAAGCAAAAAGCATACACTATATATATATATATATACGGTATTATTTTTGCCGTTTTTTTGGAAAAACATTGAACTTGCCAGTGTTGCTGCTTGCTTTTCAGTGATTGTGTTTGGTTGATTTCTCGATGATAATGGAGAAGGGGGAATTCGGGAGAGAAAAGAGTGAGAAAGTGAGAGGAGTAGGAGGAGGGTTGGGAAAAATTGATGTGAGCATCCAGTGGAACCTCTGCATGTCTTTTTCTCTCTCTTTTTTTTTTTTTTTTTTTTTTGTGTGTGTGTGTGTGTGTGTGTGACGAGTTGAGAGGCTTGATGCGGCGCGTTGATACGATTCTTTCTCACGTGGGGCATCGGCGCTATTGTCATTGGGAGCGCTCCGGTGATGCCGCCATCCTCATTCTTCACCATGAACCCTCCAACAACCTCACGCCGAAAATGCGAGCAGCCATACAACATTACTTTCGTCAGGCGGAGGCAGACCCGGCGGTTCGCCGCATCATTCTGACGGGCGAAGGCCACGCCTTCTCCTGTGGGGTGGACCTCGCGGACTTCAGCGCATCGGCGTCTCAGATGGAGTACGATGGCGTTCTCATTCCAAGTCTCGCGACGCTGACAAACATGGTGGAGAACAGCGTGAAGATTGTTGTGGCGGCCATTAATGGTCTCACCTTCTCGGGTGGACTGGAACTTGCACTTGCGGCGCACTACCGCGTTGCCTCACCATCGTCGGAATTTTCATTTCCAGAAGTAAAGCTTGGCATTGTGCCCTGCGGTGGGGGAACACAACGGTTGCCACGTCTGATTGGTGTTCGAGCAGCGGTTGATATGATCACCACATCCAAGAAGTTGACTGCCAGAGAAGCACTTAGAATGGGTCTCGTGGACCACTTGGCGAGTTGTACGAAGAAACATGATAAGGACAGAAACGATGGTGACAGCACGGTTTCTAACAAGGATGGGGATCACCTACGTGGGAACAACGACCATTTGGTGGCTGTCGCAATTCAACTCTCTACCTATTGGAAAACCCCACGGCATTTATCGTGCGACAATAGGAGACTCGGCAATTCTATACTCAACCGCGCTCTGTTCCGCTGGATGCAGCGGGAGATTGACAAAAATGCCCCCAAGGGCGTTAAAGCTCCGATGCGATGCTTAGAAGCCATCCGGGCTTCCACAACCGTGGCTTCTTTTTCGGAGGGATTGCAGGTGGAAATGAAACTCTTTTTTGAGTCCTTGGAGTCTCCTGAGGCGCATGCCATGCAACATCTTTTGCGTGCAGCAAACGCTGCTTTTTGTGGCAACCTTGCCTCACTTCCGCGTGGTGCATCGGATGGATTAAATATCCGCCGCTTTGCAGTGATTGGTTGTGGAACCATCGGCACGGGTGTAGTACTCCTCATGTTACGCAGTCAAATTCCGGTGACGGTTGTGGAATTGAACGAAGAGCAATGTCTTCGGGCTCGTCTTTTTATGCAGGAGGAATTGGATCGCGAGGTGGAGAATGGTCGCCTTTTACCCGAATTGTGTGAGCAGCGTCTATCTATGTTATCGCTTGTTCCTTACCACGCAGATTTAGTCCAGGCGTTAAAAGAGGTGGACATGGTGCTGGAATGTGTCGGTGAAAATCCTGCACTGAAGAAACAAGTCTTTACTCGTTTGAGTGAAGTTTGCCCACCGCACTGCATTCTGGCAACAAGCGCCTCCACAACTAGTATTGGGGAATTGGCAAAGGTGACACGACGACCTGAAAAGGTCATTGGGTTGCATTTTATTCCCCCCTCCGATGTTACACCCCTGTTGGAGATTGTGCAAGGGTCTTGTACCGATCAGTTCACTATTCTGCAGGCTTTGCGCGTGGGCCATTTGTTTCATAAGGCCGTCATTTTAACGAGAGACTTGGGGGCGTGCTTGACGACCCGTCTTTTTTCTGCTGGCCTCTACCAGGCATTTGCTATGCTTGAGGAAGGGGCCTTTCCTGTTGAGGTTGACCGCGCGCTTCGACGGTTTGGCTTCCGTCTTGGCGTATTTGCATTGGAGGATCTCGCAGGACTTGATTTTACGGCTGAAATTCGTACACGACTGCAGAAAAATAATACCACCTTCTCTTCTCAAGCGGATGTGTACACAATACCGCGGCTGCTGGTGGAAGAAGGACGTCTTGGGCAAAAGAGAGGACTTGGTTGGTATAATTACGAGAAGGGCACTTTTTTTAATTCCATCGTCACAAAACTGCGTGGCGCAAAGCGAGCTGAAAATGAAGAAGGCGTCGCCGCATTAGGTGTATGGCGCAAAGGTGGTGCATCACTTAAACGTGTACCGCGTCCTGACCGGGCAGTGGAGTTATTAATTCTTGACGTCTGTCGGAAAAAAGATATTTTGCGTCGGGATATCAGCGAAAGGGAAATTGTGGAGCGTATTATATTTGCCATCATTAATGAGGCCGCAAAACTACTTGGGGAAGGTGCTGTTTTAAGCTCGGCGGATGTGGATGTGGCTATGACATTTGGCTACGGCTTTCCAGCGTGGAAGGGTGGTGTCTGCTACTATGCTGACAAGTTTGGTATAGCGAACATTGTACATCGCATGCGTATTTACAATCGTGCCTTTGGCGATGCCGTCTTTCCTTTACCCTGCGACGTGTTGGCTTCAATGGTGACCTCGCAACAAACCTTCCGCTCCATGTGGCAGTAACTTTGACAAATAGGGGCGGCGCGGTTCTTCTTTTTTTTTTCCTTTTCTTTTTTTTTTTTTCTTTTCCTTCACACACAAATACAAAGGCACACTCTTTTTTCTCCGTGCGTATCTGTGTGTATGTGTGTGTTCGGCGTGGCTGACAACAGACCGGGGGGGAGACGAAATTTGCACGTGGCGTCCTTCTTGCAATTTTTCTTCCTTCATGTGCGCGGTGAGGCTCCCGCCGCAGCCCGACCCAAATTGCAGCGGCGCGTCAGGAAATATGGAGGTGAGGGAATACACGAATAAAAAACAACAACAACAACAACAAAGAAAAGAGGAAAAGGGGGATTTCGACGGAAAAAAGGCGACGAAAGGACGTTTAATGGAGAGGGACTGTGCGGCTATGCACCGAGCTTACGTCTTCCTTTTCCTTTCTCTTTCTCTCTTTCTTCTTCTGTCTGTGTATAAATTGCTTTACCCATGCCTCGGAACCTTTTTAATTTGCTCTTTTTTTAACCTTTTTTTTTTATGCGCGCTTGTCATTAAATCCTTTTCCTTGCGCTTCACGCCGCACCACCCTAAAAAGGAAGGAGGCGCTCAACAAATAACATACAGGCACAAATAGGGTAATAAAAAGAGGGAGTCAGGTGCATTGTGCTTGTGTTTCTGAGGGTTTACGCTTGCAGGCACGTGAGGCGAGGGAAGCGAATAGGCCCCCATTTTGAGGTGGTAGAAAAGGGGGTTGTTGGTGGTGTCACTCATGCTGCGCTGCTGCCTTCCACGACGTGGTATTGTGCAGACCGTGAAGAAAGACAACTACGTACTATCTCGCTTGTCGAACGGTTTGCGTGTGTTGACATGCGATGATGGAAATGGCATCACAGGCATGGGCCTTTTTATGTTAAATGGAACAAAATTTGAGGATGAGAAGAATACAGGGGCGGCGGCCGTATTTGAATCGTTGCCGCTGCGCAGTAACCAGATATTTACCGGCCGCGAGATCAGTGAGGCGCTTGGTTCACTCGGTAACGCCTTCAAGGTGACAAATAACAAGGAGGCCATGTCGGTTATGCTCATGATGCCACGATATCATCAGAAGGATGGTCTTGAGCTGCTCAACGCAATGTGCCTGCACCCGACGCGGGATGAGGTGGAGTTTCAAATTGCAAAGGAGAAGACCGGTGAACGGGCGGGCCTACACCACCGCGATGCGACGAGTGTCTGCCTGGAACTTGTGCACGAGGCGGGGTGGAATGGCAAGGGGCTTGGACAACCTCTCGACCCCAAAAAGGAGGATCTTGACAACCTGACACTTGAGAAGTTTACCGCCTTTCACCGCACCTATACCCGACCCGAGCGCACCGTACTTGCTGCAACAGGGGTCGCCGATCACAAGCAATTTGCCGCTGAAGCAGAACTTATTTTGAGTTTTGACAGTGAGACGGCACCTCTTGGCGCCCCACGTAAGCATCCGTACACGGGCGGCAGTCGGCTGGTGCAGAAGACGGAGGCTCCAGAGAGCATGAACAAATTTCAAGAGAAGAATCTCAGTCATGTTGCACTTTTCTGTCAGGGTGTTCCTATGAATCACCCAGACTACTACAACATCAGTGTTATTCAAACTCTTTTGGGTGGTGGGACGTCTTTTAGCTCTGGAGGTCCTGGAAAGGGCATGCAAACAAAAATTTTTCGTGAAGTGTTGAACAGGGAGGGATTCTTGCACGGGCTGGAGTGCATTACGGCATGGTACAGTGACGGTGGTCTCATTGGACTCTATGGAAGTGCACCACATGAATACGTTTACGCACTTTTGAAGGTGATGATTTATCAAGCTGCCTCCATATGTCAGCGTGTGAGTCCTTTGCATCTTGAAATGGCAAAGAACCAGCTGCGGTCGCAGCTTATTCTACTTGGTGAGGGCCGTGAGCAGCTACTCTCTGACATGGGATTCAATATGGTGGTGCATGATCATATCATTACGGCGAGCGAGACAACGGAAGGAACTAAACATATTACCATTGACGAATTAAAACGAGTCTGCGCTGAAATGGTTCAGAGACCGTTAACTTTTGTTGTGTACGGCGAAACAACAAAAATGCCGTCGCATGAAAAGCTGGAGGAGACAGTACGAAAAACATATGAAAGGCTCAATTGAGACAAAAATTTTTTTTCTTTATTCTCAGTGAATAACCCATCTATGCATGTGTCTCTCATTGCGTTTTGTCTTCCAATTCTTTTTTTTTTTCATCTCACTCATTCACTCTGTGTTTTGTGCATGGGGCTGAAAAGCACACGGGTGGGTGTGAGGACGTCCACTTTAAGCGAGAAGGGAAGAGGCCGGGGTGAATGAGTAAAAACTTTACTGACCGCGTGTGTTTACACCACAGTCATTTCTTCTTTTTTTTCTCTCTCTCTCTGTGTGTGTGTTGGACTGGCTGGTGGGAGGCGTTTAGGCAGTCATGAGAAAAACAAAGGCAACACCATCACAAAAAGGAGGATAAAAGAAAAAAGGGACGGGCGGGAAGAATTCGCACTTTTTATTTTTTTTTATTTTTCTCTTTCTTCTTCTTCTCCTTCTTTTTGTTGTTTTTTTTTTGTGCGTTGTCACTCCTCCTTTCCGTGTCTTACGGACTCCCGTCCCTGCCGAAAAAAAAAAAAAAAAACAAAAAAAAAAAAAGGGAGGGGGACTCACTGCACGGGCACAGGGCCAACACAGAAACATCGAATCATGTGCACATGGTTTCAGGAGGGGGGAGAGAAATGGAACGCAGCCACGAGGGATTAACTTGACGAATGGAAGTCGACAAGACAAGACAAGAAAAAAACAAACAAACAAAAAGAAGCGCATCATAACTTTGCCCACGCAATACCCACGGAATTGTTCTACAACAAGTGGAGCGCATTGCAGTCAATAATTGATTTTTTTTGTCCGAAAAAATCACGCAGCCGCTCCAATGACATCCCACGTACGGTGTTCATTTAGGCACCGCAATCCACAGGGAATAAAACAAGAATGAAACCAACAACAAAAGAGAAGGAACGTGTTTCTTTTATTTCTCTTGATCTGATAATAAAAAGAAAACCCTTTTCTTTTCTTGTGCCCGCTCAACAATATAAGATATTTCATAACCACCGTTTCTCCGCTTTACTTCTCCAACCTGCTTTAGATAAGCATAACACAATAAGCCACATAAAATTATAATGATGATGACGTGCCGTCTGCTGTGCGCCCTGTTGGTGCTCGCCTTGTGCTGCTGCCCGTCCGTATGTGTGACTGCGAGTGCTAATGTTAAGAACAATCCTAACACCACCACTACGACCACAACGACGACGACCACAACGACTACCACCACGACTACCACTACGACGACAACAACTACAACAACTACAACTACAACGACCACGACGACCACTACACAAGCACCAACTGCGACCACCACGACCACGGAGGCGCCAAGCATTACGACTACAGAGGCGCCAACTACGAGGACCACCCGCGCACCGCCACTTCTTCGCAAAATTGACGGCAGTCCCAGCAGCCCTGCGTGGGTTTATGCCCCGCTGGTGCTCGCGGTGTCCGTGCTGGCTTACAGCAGTCTGTGCTGAGGGGAAGTGTGGGCTGTGAGTGCCGGCACACAACTGCAGTGATTGGTGCTCCTCTTTATTAATCCGACATACCATGTAATATAAAATGGTGATTGTTTTTTGCTTTTTTTGCTTCTGCTGCCGTGCTGTGTGCTCTGCGTTGTTCCCACATCCGTCACGTTGGACGCATCAGACACACTCATATGCATGCGCACTTGGGCCTTGTGTGTTTTTTTAATCTTCTTTTTTCATTTATTGTTTAACTCTTGTTTTGCGGGACTGTGTGCGTGTTTTGGTTTGGTACTGATTCCATCTGCGTAATGTTTTGTGCGCTGCTGCTGCTGCCGTTTGTTTTTGTGCGGTGGCTGTGTGTGGTGTAGCGGCCTTGTTTCTTTTTGCTCTCCCATGCTCTTGCAGGGCGGCTCCACAGTGTTAGGTGGCTCTACTGGATGTGGTGATGGCTAGCCGTGTGGTGCTGTTGTGTGCTGCCTGCGTGTTCTAGTGCGGTGCGCCCGTGACGGTGGCTGCTCGTGGCACGAGCACTGCACTGAGAGTGGGGGACGCGAAATGATGGCCATGAGCAAGGGGGAGAGTGACGGCGAGTTTCTGAAGGCGGACTGGAGGCTGATTGCACCGCTGAGATTACTAGGGACCGTTGTTTCTGCGGAGGCGAAGAATGACGAGGAAAGGGGCGGCTGCGGGGGGAAGGAGGGGGCTTTCAGGGATATTTGTGGAAAACCATTGTCGAGTGCATCATTGTACGTGTTGGGGGTGGGTGTCAGGGGCGACGCAGAATCGCATCTTCCGCCTCGAGCTCCATCAGCCGGCGGCAGCAGTCCTCCTACCGGGTGGGTAATGCTGGCGACCGTGGCCACACATCCTCAGGTGTCTCTGGGGACTCAGCGCATTCTACTGATGGCCGCAGGGACGAGGCGGGGGAAGCTGGGGGCGTGGCAACCGCCCGGGAACTCACTCAGCAGCAAAAACAGGTGCTGGCGCCAGGAGGAGGAGGAGGCGGACCACCAGCTTCTTCAGGTCCCCCATAGATCAGGGGGTCGAGGAGCAGCTGCGGCACAAGGACACTCATCAGGGAATCAGGGAGCATCGCTCGGCACCCAGCAGCAGGTGTCGGGGCTGCGTCCACCATCACTGGATGAAAAGCAGAGCGGGGGCACAACCGAATGCCCACCAAAGCCAGAGGAAGCTCCAACCCCTCTGGTACCACGCGGCATACAGACTCCGAGGGTCCAGGTCAAATGCCCTAGTCATCTCCCGGTCGAAGTGAAGATGATACTGTCACCCATCGAGGTGGGCCGTGCCCCGAGAAGGTTTCCGTCAACACTCAAAAGGCTGATGCTGCAACGGCGGAAGAGGAACGCCGACGTGAGAACACCGATGCTACTCGAAAGACGTTCATGGAGGTTTCGGGACAGCACCGGCGACCACCACCAGAGCAAATGTTGCGGCAGCTACTGGCGACGGTGACGGCAGCACCGCAGCACCGCGGTCTCCCAGTCCACTCCTTCACTTTGCTTCTTGTGTGTGTGCTGCTGCTGCTGCCGCGATGGTGGCTGCGCTTGCATGAAGTGGCGTGTGCTGAAGGCGAGAGAAGGCCAGAGGAAACTATATTGTCCTTGTGATGAATATTGCCTGCAGTTACCGTGGAAAATGAATTCTCGTGGTGTGCGGGGATTGCTTTTTTCTTGTTTCATTGCTTTTTTGTTGCTGTGGGCGCTGCGCCTCCACTTTTGCGTGAAGGCCGTCCGTGAGGGGTGCGGAAACGACAGACGCCTTCGCCATGTGCAGTACATGTGGTGGGGCCTTGTGTGCCGCCCTTGCTGGTCTCTCCCTCCTCCATCTGTGTGTTGTTCTCGCTGCATGACTGTGTGTGTTTGTGTGTGCCTGTTGCCGCGGATTGGAGTGTGTGTCGTGCGTGCTGTGCGGCGTACGGTGCACGCCTGGCTGCTGCTCTCTCGTCTTGTGTGGTTTGCCCTCCGTGTGTGTCTGCCGCACCTCTCTTCTCCTCTGTTGCTCTCCATTTTCCTCACTGTGCAGATCAGCTCCACACCACTGAACGACCACACTCACGATGATGATGACGTGCCGTCTGCTGTGCGCCCTGCTGGTGCTCGCCTTGTGCTGCTGCCCGTCCGTATGTGTGCCAGCGAGTGCTAATGTTAAGAACAATTCTACCACCACCACTACGACCACAACGACGACGACCACAACGACTACCACCACGACTACCACTACGACGACAACAACTACAACGACTACGACCACGACGACCACTACACAAGCACCAACTGCGACCACCACTACCACGGAGGCGCCAAGCATTACGACTACAGAGGCGCCAACTACGAGGACCACCCGCGCACCGCCACTTCTTCGCAAAATTGACGGCAGTCCCAGCAGCCCTGCGTGGGTTTATGCCCCGCTGGTGCTCGCGGTGTCCGTGCTGGCTTACAGCAGTCTGTGCTGAGGGGAAGTGTGGGCTGTGAGTGCCGGCACACAACTGCAGTGATTGGTGCTCCTCTTTATTAATCCGACATACCATGTAATATAAAATGGTGATTGTTTTTTGCTTTTTTTGCTTCTGCTGCCGTGCTGTGTGCTCTGCGTTGTTCCCACATCCGTCACGTTGGACGCATCAGACACACTCATATGCATGCGCACTTGGGCCTTGTGTGTTTTTTTAATCTTCTTTTTTCATTTATTGTTTAACTCTTGTTTTGCGGGACTGTGTGCGTGTTTTGGTTTGGTACTGATTCCATCTGCGTAATGTTTTGTGCGCTGCTGCTGCTGCCGT